GTGGGAAGGATGTGCCGTTCTTAAAAAAAAAAAAAAATAAAAAAAATCAGCGGAAAAGGCTGAAATACGAGATGATTGCCAGAAGGGTTGCAGAGTCAGCTAGTTCCGATTAGCTCTTTCACTACAGTAGCCCTGGCGGTTAGAACAGTCTAGGAGAAGTCACTGGGACCAAAGGCCGAAGCTGAAACCGGGTAATGGCCCCGGCAGAAACAAACTCTTGTACCGGGACGCTGGACCCGGTTTCCGGCAGGTGCAGCTCCCCACCAATAGACTGGAGCCTTCCACGCAGGACCCTACCCTGGGGGGGGCTTGTATCACCTCCCAGGGTCAGGACCTTACCCGAAGTTCAAAACAAAAAAAATTGAGATGATTGTGCGAAGACAAGGCCAGAAAAGATGAAATCTCAATATAGCAATGACAATGTGATCTAAGCAACCAACATGGGAGTTCCAGCATACGTACGAGGGCAGTCAAACGGCTACGTGCAGTCAGCCCTAAGGATGGGCTCGTGAACGGCAGCCTAGTCCAGGAAACAGTGAGAGATCGAGATTTTTGTTTTATGAGGAAAAAAATTCAAAGAAAGGTATAAAAGCCCCTTTCTTGACGAGGCTGCAAATGACCGAGATCTGTAGAATGATCATAGAAGGAAGGTTTCATCTTGCGACAGTCTCTAACCAAGTCCTCCCCAATCTGCTTCAGGTGCAAAGACAGAGGACACTAGGGGATTGACTGAGCATGTCGGAAACACCCTGCCAAAATCAAAGAACAAAAAGTGAGAGCAAACATGTTCATAGAAGTGGATGAAGCTTGAGGAACAATGGTTGGTTGTTTAACTTGATGCATCGTAGATTCGCTCTACGATATTCGTAGAAGTGGATGAAACTCAAGGAACTTACTTGTTTCATCATAGATCCGCTTTACGATGGTTGGGTGTTTAACTTGATTCATTGTAGATCCGCTCTACGACGGTTGGGTGTTTGATGACAACCTGTCAGAACTTTCCTGGGCTTGGCATTGCGCCGACAAAGAACGGCAGACAAAAAAGAAAAAAAAGGTATATTCCCTCCAGCAGATGGCACAGAGCAGGTGCTAGGAAGCCGTCAGGAAAGCTGGACACATTCTGCATTATCCCGCTCAACGACTCAAGGGCAATTCATGAAGAAACAGCTTGTGAAGGTCTTCTGTGGGACCTTGAGACTCCATCGCAGAACAAAAAGAGCAAGAGTACCTCAAAAAGTCCTCTATGATACAAACGGCACTAGAACAAAACGAAAACCAGATGCAGAGGAACAAACCTTGAAAACGAAGAGCACAAAAGTGGAGCGAGCAGGCAACACGCGAGTGATCTACTTTGAAGTTTAAACTCTCAACGCATACTGTCATTTCCCAACCCAGACAAGAAAGAAGGGGAACGCAAAAAAAAAAAGAACTGTCATAGCAGTACAGACTGAAATTTAATCGGCAGCAAATGGATCTACAATACTACAAGTTGGAAAAAGGGGGTTATAGAAGGTGACATTACCACAGCCTGGCGGCTGCCTCACAAGGTTATTCTAGGAATTCTTTCAGAAGAAATTGCTTGTCCGAAAATCCCTAAGTGTTGGATATGCTCTTACGTTCTTGCGAACGCCTCTACTATGTAACATTACGTTACATCAATTGGACAAATACATATATGAGACCCTAAAGGAGCAATACGACAAGCACGAAGTGGCAGACGCGAAAAGGGGTCAGGCTCAGGAACAGAGTTTGCACGGAACAAAAGGTGCAAGGGACCAACCGACACAGCAGTCGATGACAAGAGGGCTCCACGAACACATTGAAAATGCAAAGAAAGAAAGGGAGCACCAATTCCACATCAGAACAGCATGTATGAAACATGTGGAAAGGACACACACACACAAAAAAAAAAAACCGGCAAGGTTGCTGAACAGCATGTAGGAAACATGTGAAAAGGACCAAAAAAAAACGGCAAGGTTGCTGGGATTCATATTTCTCTGAAACCACCACTACCTTTCACAGGCAACCGTGAAACCCCAGAATACCATAAACCGTATTCTTCGGGTGAAAAGTGCTACTGGACCAAAATGGCTGGAAATTGGTCACATCATGAAGGTAGTCTCTTATTATGGTGTTGGAGGGTTGCTATAGATTGGGATGGACACATAGACGACGCGTCCAGGAGGCGGGCCCATTTCAAGGGGCGGCTGTCACTCATAAAAAAAATGATTTCTGGAAGCAAGTGTGGAGAGAGGTAGTATAGCCTTTCAGAAGAGGAGGTAATCAATGCTGCTGTCTCAGGATTGATCACTTGACCTGGTTGACCATAATGAAGTTAATTTCGGGAAAAAAAAAAGGTAAGCGCCGAGTCTGTAGTCAATGCAAGGGAAACTGCACCCAGTTTCCAGCTTTATCCATGCAAGGACAGATACTGTAAAAACAAACAAACAAACAAACAAGGCACACACACTACAGATTTTTGGGGACCAAAAAAAACACAGATTCTTCGGGTGAGGCAGAGGCAAGCACTGGTAGCATATTTTCTGTGAATTATAAAAGAGGAGACTGCTTTGGGGAGTTTCACTCCTGAAGGCCACAATCGCAGAGCTTGTAAGAGTCATAGTTATATCGATTGACCACAAGAGCTTCAAGTCTATTTGGGAAATTGGAGGATCTTAGAGTCGAAGCAAAACCACTCAAAACAGCAACTTCGTCAAAATGTACATTTTTTATTCTTTGAACGAAATGGAAACCAACTAAATTGGCCCGATTGAGGTCAAAATTTTTAGCTCCCAAGGGTCCGGTGTTCTTAAAACGCTATACCCCCTCGACTCCAGCTACGTCCGGATACATCCAGGGGATCCGGCATTCTTAAAATGCCATACCCCCTGGACTTCAGCTAAGTCCAGATGCATCCAAAGGGTACGGCATTTAAAGAACACCGGACCCTCTAAAGCTCAAAATTTCGACCTAAATCGGGCTAATTTAGTCGGTTCCAATTTCGTTCAAAAAATAACAAATGTCCACTTCGACGAAATTGCTGTTTCAACATCTTCACCAAACTGTGACCAGCCATCATATAAGACCCTCCTAATTGTAAACGACATAAGGCCGAAGGCTTTCCATGAAATGCAAGAAGGATGGCTATCTGAGGAGGTTGAACCCCCCATACATGCAGACTGTGGAGGGTTACCTCACGCTTGAAAAGACGGACTCCAGAACAAGTCCAGCAAAAGTTGCACCAGAAATACCACAAACCTGATCAGGGAACTTGAATGCAGGCCAAGTCCATCTAAGTTCAGCACAATTGTGTCTCGCTACGGGTGGGTCAACCATATTTTTTTAAGCTTCTGGGAATTCTGAGCAGTAATCTGTGTTCACAACAAATGTGAGGATCAGGGTCCTCGGTAGGCCTATGGGGCCCTGGTTGAAGCATTATCCGCCCTAAGTGAAGGCGGAGGTGCCCGCCCTAAGTGAACGCGGGCCTGGCTTTTTGCAAGAGGCCCTCGACTGTCAATTTCATATTTGGGGTCC